AGCTGCAGGTCTGTGGGAGTTTGCTTGAGTTCCACTCCAGACCCTGTTTGCCTGGGTATCAGCAGCAGAGGCTACAGAAGAGTGAGTATTGCTGAACAGCAAATATTGCTGTCTGATCATTCCTCTGGAAGCTTCGTCTCAGGGGTGTACCCGGCCGTGTGAGTTGTGAGGTGTCAATCTGCGCCTAGTGTGGGATGTCTCCCAGTTAGGTTACCCAGGGATCAGGGACCCATTTGAGCAGGCAGTCTGTTCGTTCTCAGATCTCAAACTCCATGCTGGGAGAACCACACTACTCTCTTCAAAGCTGACAGACAGGGACATTTTCATCTGCAGAGATTTCTGCTTCCTTTTGTTTGGCTATGCCCTGTCCACAGAGGTGGAGTCTACAGTGGCAGGACGGCTTCCTTGAGCTGTGGTGGGCTCCACCCAGTTGGAGTTTCTTGGCCACTTTGTTTACCTACTTAAGCCTCAACAGTGGCGGGCGCCGCTCCCCCAGCCCTGCTGCTGCCTTGCAGTTGGATCTCAGACTGCTGTGCTAGCAATGAGGGAGGCTCTGTGGGCATGGAATCCTCCCAGCGAGGCACGGGATATAATCTCATGGTGTGCCGTTTGCTAAGACCCTTGGTAAAGTGCAGTATTAGGATGGGAGTAACCCAATTTTCCAGGTGTTATCATGGTTTCCCTTGGCTAGGAAAGAGAATTCCCTTCCCCCTTGCACTTCCCGGGTGAGGTGATGCCTCGCCCTGCTTTAGCTCTCGCTCGTTGGGCTGCACCTACTGTCCAGCACCCACTGTCTGAGAAGCCTCAGTGAGATGAACCCTGTATGTCAGTCAGAAGTGCAGAAATCACCTGTTTACTGGGTTGCTAACGCTGGGAGCTGGAGACTGGAGCTTTTCCTATTCCGCCATCTTTGCGCCACCCAACGTTATTACTTTCTAGTTTCTTCTGTTATAATAGCTATATTCTCCTTATCATTTAATTTTGTATATTTGAGTTATTTCCTTTTTATTGTTAGCTACTATTTTGTTTAATTTTCATTTGAAATCCAGGATTTTGAATAGTTATATGTACCCTTTTCTCTTATTAATCTACTTCAGTGATTGCAGTATCTTTATTATTTTCCTTATTCTACGTTTTAAATTTTCTTTTTTGTTTCTTTTTTGTTTGAGCTGGGAATTTAATTTATTGTTTTTTGATTGAAGTGTTCAGGGCTATGAAGTTTTGTTTACAATCACTGCTTTAAATGTTTCCCATTTATTGTTATGCAATGGTTTGTCACTATTTCTTAAAAATCTTGTAGTATCTTAACAGACAATGGAAAATTAGAATTATTTTGTGCTTGAGTGAATAATGGAATAGATGTGAAAAGATTTCTAGGAAAGCTTGTTTTGAATGTTGCCAACTTAAAACTTCAGTGACAATTTCCATTTACTGAATGCTTACCATGTACCTGTCACTGAGCTAGGTGGTTGGTATACATTATCTCATTTAAGCTGTACAACATCATTTTGAGCTTTATTTCCCCATTTTCACAAGAGGAAACTTTGGCTTAGAAGAGTTATTGTAATTTGCCTAAGGCTGCATAATGCATAAATTGTTAATGTTTGAATTTCAATCCATTTCTGACTCTAATGCCTATGACTTTTACCTAGAGAATAATATTGTGAGGTCACAGAGGTACTGAAGAAACATGGCATAGTCAGGGAATGTTAGTAATACTGTGTGACTGGAGTGAAGTTAGCACTTAGTGGCATCATTTCTGGCTTGAGCAAATGGTTTTTTGAGGTATTATTAACTAGATGGAAAACATGAAGCAAAGCAGGTCTATATAAGATGATAGGCAGGTTTGGTATATCTGTTGGACACCTGAATGAAACAATCTGGTAGTAAGGTAAGTATAGATCTAGATTTCTGCAGAGTGATTTATACTGGAGATGTATTGAGTATCATTAGCTTAGAGGTGGTAATTTAAATAATGGATTTTGAAAGTGGTAATCCAGAATATTCTGTGCAGTGAGAAGATCAGCAGATATATGAAATAATGAAACTTGAGGTTTATTGGAGAAAGAGTCTGAAAAGGAATCAAGAAAATGGTATTCAAAGTGTTAGGTAGAAATATAGGAGATCTTGTGTAACAGGGACCAAAGGAGGAGTTTTAAGAAAAATGGAGGGTGATTATCATGTTCTCTGAAGAACTGAAGAAAGATAAGATCAGATGTGTTTATTTAATTTAATAGTATCTAATATGACAACTAGTATCTTAAATCCAGTGGAGTGATGAAGATTGGGTCGAGGAAGAAGAAAATGGCGACAGGGGTTATGAACTGTTCAGGAACTTGGTTATGAAGAGAAAGGGTCATAGTACAGTACTAGTTAGTATGAGACTCTGGGTACCTTCATTGCCTCTCTCTACTGTCCTCCTTCAACCTCTCCCTTTCATCTCTTTCTTTTCCTCTTTTCTTCTTACTTGCTCCCATTCTTCCTGTATTCTACTCACTTTCCCTCCTTTCTCCCTAATATGATACACTTGGACATTTAATGTTACAGGAGAAGAATTTAACTTGGGACAGCATGACATCTTATCTTATGCCTATAAATATGAATAACACACATAAATATTGAAATAGGTGTTAGATCAGAATGAAACTGTTAATAGTTTCTTGAATACAGGATCACAGCCACGTATATACCTTTAAATAAACATACTTGCTTAATAAATTTTAATAATATTCTTTAAAATAATAAAATATCAACACTGTACTAAATGCTTTACATGTTTTCCACAATTTAAACCTTATCAGCAAAATCTCTGCCCATTTTATAGATGAGGACACTGAAGCACAGAGAAGTTAAGTAACTTGTCCATTGTTCTATACCTGGTATGGTAGTGTGGTTCTAGAGTCTATGTTCTTAACCACAAGGCTGTATTCCTTCTCAGTCCACTATACTAGTTACTTGCATGCCTTTAAAAATTCATTAGTAATATTTTTGTTGTAAATTATGATGCAGAATTAGAAGTGGGAATATTTTGATGTTTTGAAGAAATCTCTTTCACTATTATACTTGTATAGAATAGTGAAGATTAGAAAAATATAATTTCTGAAGTAGGGATACCAAGTACAAACATGAATTAAAATTTCGCTTTTCTGTATTTGAGTTAAAGAATTGAAATGCCTGGCCGGGCACGGTGGCTCATGCCTGTAATCCTAGCTCTTTGGGAGGCCAAGGTGGGTGGATCAGGAGGTCAGGAGGTCAGGAGATCGAGACTATCCTGGCCAACACGGTGAACTCTGTCTCTACTAAAAATACAAAAAGTTAGCTAGGCTTGGTGGTGAGCGCCTGTAATCCCAGCTACTTGGGAGGCTGAGGCAGGAGAATTGCTTGAACCCAGGAGGTGGAGGTTGCAGTGAGCCAAGATTGCACTATTGTACTCCAGCCTGGGAGACGGGGTGAGATTCCGTCTTTAAAAAAAAAGTAAAAAAGGAATTGAAATGCCTGGCCAGGTGCGGTGGCTCATGCCTGTAATCCCAGCACTTTGGGAGACTGGGGCATGCGGATTACGGGGTCAGGAGATCAAAACCATCCTGTCTAACATGGTGAAACCCTGCCTCTACTAAAAATACAAAAAGTTAGCCGGGCGTGGTGGCGGGTGCCTGTAGTACCAGCTACTCCGGAGGCTGAGGCAGGAGAATGTTGTGAACCCAGGAGGCCGAGGTTGCAGTGAGCTGAGATTGCACCACTGCACTCCAGCCTGGGCAACAGAACGAGACTCTGTCTCAAAAAAAAAAAAAAAAAAAAGCCTATGGGTGAAGCTAGACTATATTAATTATATAGTATGACACATAATGTCTGAAAAATGCAATATTGCTACATAATAAAAATGTATTTAAGATAATTGAATTCTTAGAATATCAACCACAGATTGATGTATTTGTTATTTTGTTTATATCTAACAGCCTTATAAATGTCTTTCTTCAGGGAAACATGCAATTTCCATTGTGAACTGCCTTCCAGAGTTTATGGTAGAACCTCACTGACGTTGCTACTGATGCCAATGTGGAATAAAGGTCTTTATAGTTTAGAAAGCAAAATGTATGAATGGGCTGTACCAAAAAATGACTCACTTTCCTTAAATTTTAACACACCTAGTACAAACTTATTTGAATTTTTAGAAAGAATATTTAAAAAGTAATATATGTACGACCTGTTTATCTTGCTCATATCTGTATTTTTGTCCTATGTCATACTTGATATTTGGGTTTCCTTTCAGAACTTTTATATATGAGCTCTAATCACAATCTAATTTTTTTAAGCTAATTGAAAAAGAAAAATTATTATTTTTCTGTATGGATAATTCAGCAAACTTAAATTGACTTTATTTTAGCATGAAAATTCTTTTATTTGTCACAAAAGAAGACCTTAATGTAGATATTGTTGGATTAGTTGTTTCAAAGTAATTGATTTTTTCCCTTACTCATTTTATTGTTATAAATATTAATTGGTTGACTTGCCTACTGAGTCGTAAAGCCATTGAGTACATGGGTGCATCTGTATTGCTCACTGGTGTCTCCTCAGTCCCTAATGCCTATGACTGGCACTGATAGGCACTCTAGTGCTTTTTAAAAAATTAAATGGGTTTTTCTGACTGAAATTAATGAATATGTTATATATATAATATATATTTTCTCATATATATGATATACTCATATATATATATGAGTATTTTCTCTATGCTAGAAATGTGCTTCTTATGGCACTATTACACTAAGACTTTATAAAACTATTTTGTTTGCCTGGATCATACATGGAAATGTCATGTTAAATTAAAAACACTAGTTTTACCTCTTAGAGATTAGGCCCTGAGAAATAGTCATAGAATCCTGATTTTTCACTCTCATTGCTTTTACTTTCCTTACTTTTTTCTTTTACTCTATTTCAGCTTCCGTTTTCTCTTTAATAATCCTATCCTTTTTGTTATTGTTGTTTTTTTTTTTTTTTAGTATCTGGAGTCCATCTTTCACCATCTTCTCCTGAGATTGTACTGGACCATGACCACTCTTCTGCCATTGGCTGCCTCTCTTCTGATGCCATTATTTCATCACCAGAGAATACACCAGAAAACAGCATTGTGAGTCAGACTATTCCTAAAGCACAGGTAAAGACAAGCATATTTTTAAAGGAGATGTGCATACTTAAAAAATTGCCTGCTAATTTAATTGATGTTTTTTAAATTTCTTTTTTAGCCAATTTGTCTAAAAGAAGTATTTCTGCAATAGAGATTCTAATTTTGAGGCTAATATGTAGAATTCAAAAAAACTAGATAATCTGTGTTTCGTGGCACAATTGCAAAGTATTTAAGTAGCCTTAGTTACCAAAGTATGATTTGAGTATCTCTTTTATTAAACTTTACCTGGCTTTGCATTTCAAATCTTGAACTTGAAAAGGGAAATAATACAAAGAAGAATAAGTATTTCTCTTTTCAGCAAATCTTACCACATATTTTCGGGTATACAAGCAACTATTTCAATTTTAGAGTAAAACCCAAAAATATAGCAGTTATAAGGTTTATTCATTCAAATATTTTTTAAACCAAGCACTTATGCTAGCTGCTGGACGTAGTCCCAATTTCTAAAGTGTTGTACACAATTTTGAGTCACCTGTTAATTTTGCGAGACAGTGATGATCAATAGAGGTCATTGATAAATTTCAGAGTTCGATTTACAGTTTAAAATATAAGCAAATTCTAGGTCTGTGTGTAAATTTTAAGAACTGTTAACAACCAGATATGTCTATCCTTATTCATACATTTTCAAGTGTAGGAAAAAGTTTTAAGTCTTTTAGTGCATTGATAGCAAATTAAGGAATACTTTAGATTTCAAAATTAAGAGGAAATTTTGTTTCTTACAGCAAAGATCGGGTTGTTGTAACAGTTTGAGGTCTTCTCTTGATTTACTTAAAGGGTGAAATAATTTCAGAACCTTTTCAACAACTTAATTTCCAAATGTGGTTTCTAGTGCCCTTTGGATGTTTTCATTATTGGTATAGTGTAAACTTTCCTCTCTTGTGTATTTTTTTTTTTTTTTTTTGTAATGTGGTTTAGATTCAGCAATCAACACACACTCATCTGGATATCTCACTTTTTCCATTGGGTTTAACTGATGAAAAAAGTAATGGAACAATTGCCCTTGTGAATGATTCTGAGGATCCTGGAGCCAATGTATCTAACATACAGCTTCAGCAAAAAATTTCAAGTCTGGAGATTAAACTCAAAGTATCTGAAGAAGAAAAACAGAGAATTAAAAAGGTATATTTAAATTTGCCTAAAAAAATTTGATTTGCAAATATTAGAAATTTGATATAATCTCAAACTCTGATTAAAAGCTCATCAGAGGAAGAAGATACTTTTCTCCCTTGGCTGTAGGTTTAAAACAGTCATGAGCTAATCACTTGGAAAAGCCTTTGATGAGAAATGTATTTTACATATGTACTTTTAAAGATATGAACATCTTTTACTAGGTTTTTTCTAACTATTGCTTTCTTTTTTTGGTTTATTTTTATTTACTTTGAAAACAGATAATATTGTATTTCTTATGAAGGGGTGAAATTTTGTGATATCAACTTTTCCCTATGGGAAGTTAGGCGTCATGGGATATTTGACAAGAGTACTTAGGTATACATTAGCCATTTTAGTAAATTCTTTACTTATGCATTTTTCCCTGTGAAAATATCTGTCAAAAGAGCTTACCATATTTATAGAAAGTGTATCTAGAAATAGATTATGTTGATGAAATTAGTTGATGTGCTCATATTCTTTTGTTGGAATGAGTAAATGTTATGTCCATGTTTGATATTGTCCTAGAAATTAGAGTGAAGCATACAATTTATAATATTGTTAGATTTTAAGCCATACTTCCCATGGATTCTTTCTCTGACAAATGTTTTCTGATACGTTCATTGAAAAAACTAAATATATTTTAAGCCATTAAATATTACAAAGCTTGTATTTGGATTTTTGTTTTAGGATGTGGAATCATTGATGGAAAAGCATAATGTCTTAGAAAAAGGCTTTCTAAAAGAAAAAGAGCAAGAGGCCATTTCTTTTCAAGATAGATACAAAGAACTTCAGGTAAGGAGATTGAACTTAAAATTTAAAATATAAGCCTTTTGATGAAGCATGTGCTATAATTTCCAGAAGTGCATAATGAGTATCTTATGAATGAAGAATCAGTACTTGCTTAAATATATAAAACTGACCAACATGGATTAAATTAATGGGAAGACGCCCATTTTGAAAAGTATGAGTTTGTGAGTAGCCACGAGGATTAGTAGTTTGAGGTTCAAACAATTTGGTAAGAAATACTCTGTTTCTAATGGATACATTTTGGGAACAGTTTATTCTAATTTTTGTTATAATAATTACATTTGAATTACATTTAGAATCCTGTAATCCAGAACTGAGATATTTAACTTTTTAAAATAAATTGTCTCCTTTTCTCCTTCCTAAATTTCCTTATTTATTTATTCTACAGTCTAACCTAACACAGTAAATGACAACTCCTTGCTGTTAATTGCTAAGACTAAAACTTGCACATTCCTTTTTGTACTTACTCAATGTCTGTTTCTTTAGCAGGATTTGTTGCCTGTACCTTCAGAATATCCAGGTTTCAACCGTTTATCATCATGGTCACCACTGTCAACATATTGTATATTATCATTATTTCTCCCTTGGATTACTAAAGTATATTCTTACTAGTCTTTTGCTTTTGTCACTGCCCACACGCAGACCATTCCCCCCATTGCAGCCACTGTGATTTGATTGAAACTTAAAGCTGGTCATGTCATTCTTCTGTTCTGAAACCTTCAGTGGCTTCTTATCTTACCCACACTAAAAGCCAAGTCCTTAAACTGGTTTTCAAGGCTCTGTGTTCCCTTATGTCCCTTCTTCCTGTCTTTTCCTTGCCTCTTTTTCCTCAGTCATTTTTCTTTTTCCTAATATCCAGAGTACTCAGATTCCCTCAGATACTTGCATGGTTTTCTTTATAACCTTCAAGTCTCTGTTCAAGTATTACTTTATCAGATAAGCCTTTCCAGACAATGCTGACATCCTCTTCATCCACCTTATCATAGTCTTCTTTATTTTTCTTCCTAGCACCTTTTACATTTGACAAATCATATATTTATTTGTTTATTTGCCTGAATCACTGTAATAGTCTCCTAAGTGGTCTTCTAACTTCCACTCTTGTTCTTTTCCATCATGAGTTTTCAACTCAGCAGGTAAGAGTAGTGTTTTAAAAATGTAAATCAAATCAGATCCCAGACTCAATTCCTGTTTTCTTTCCAATATACATTTTCAAGCTTCTCCAGTTTACCCTCGGGTATTTATTTACGCCAAGCTTTACAATAAGGTATAGGTGAATGTGTGAGTATATGTGGGGAAGGACATTCTTTGCCTGTTGGAGTGGTGTGACCCATGATTTCACTCACGTATCCCTGCCTGGAATGTTGTTCCTCCTGTAGATCAGTTTTTTAAAAATACAAAACTTGGAAATAAGGAAAAATGCAGGCAGTGTGTCTTTTCAGCACCTGTGATGACATTGTTTAATGTGCCCACCTCAGGCGTACTTAGGAGAATGTATTTTATTTGACTCACTGTTTACTCTTGAATAAAAGTCTCAGATGTAGTGAAGTTACATGTTAATTTATAGAATTTTTTTCCCCTGAAGAGATGCAAATAATTCTGTTTGTTAGAAAAGATAACTTCAAAGAATATAATTAATTGCCCTGTAGGATATTAACAAGTTTCGTCTCTAACCTAGTGCTTTTAGTCTAACACTTCATGTAGTTAAATTTCCTATCTAAATCCTGTTCTTCAAACGCAGTTTAAACCAGTCTTAGCATCTTATTCATTCGGTCTTACAGGATATTAACCAGTTTTGTCTCTAACTCGGTGCTTTTAGTCTAACACTCCATTGTTAAATTTCCTATATAAATCCTGTTCTTCAAATGCTTCTTGAACCAGTCCTAATGTCTCATTCGTTCAGTCTTAAATGATTAATTCATTAGTAAATGAACAAAATAAATCTTTGGTATATCTTCAATTTGTATTTACGTGAGTCAGATTAACTTTTTGAAAATTATACTTTTAACAGCTCTCGCTGAACTCTAGCTTCATTCTGATATTTGCTCAAATGCTACTCTTATGGAGGCTTTTCTTAATCATGCTGTATAAAATAAGGCCCTATGTACTTGCTCAGCATTCCCTAGCCCTTTTTATTTTTTTCTTTCCCATACCACTTATTCCTACCTGTTGTTTTATTTTGATTTGTTTATTTTCTGCCTTTTCTCCATTACAGTGTAAGTTTCTTCAGATTTAGAACTTTTCCTTGCCAGTAGTACCTGGCATATAGTGCATGTTCAATGAATACTGTTGGATGAATCAGTAGATGAACTAATATCATGCACCCTGCTCCCCAAGGACTAACTACATTGTGTATAGCCACACTTAGTGACCTCATCCTTGGACTTACGGTGCTTATTAAAAGGCATAGTACTGAATAATGAGGTAACTGTGTTTTTTTGTCTCCATTGAATGACTTATTCTGGACCCTTTAGTGAGACATACATCTTTGAGAATTCAGTTTTTCCATCTATAAATGGGAACAGTAACATATCAGAGAGACTATATAGAACCTAACATATATCACTTTGGGTTGTTTTTACGTTAATGACTAATATAAATGCCATCTGGCATTATCATTGTTGTCTCACTGCATTTACTATTAATAGTCATAATCTAGGAGTGATGACTTGAGTCTTCAAAGCTAGTTTGTTTTATAGGAATCTATACTTTCAAAGAAAACTTTTTTCCGATGACTTCAGTTTAGGACCAATAGGCTTCTCTCTCCTTTTTATAGCATGGGAATAAAAGAGTAACTTATGGAGTATTAAACACCTTGGCTAAATAAATTATAGAAAAATGTACCAGGAGGTCTCATAGCCAAATCGAAGTTAAAGTAGGCATACTGTTCAGTTTATATGTCACCGTACCATCCACCTCTGAGGAAAGGATTTCTATCCTCAGTTCCTTCCATTCATTTCATGTGCCAATTCTTTGTTTTTTATTTGGTTATCGTATTTTTCAGTTCTAAAATTTCCATTTGGCTCTCCTTCATGTCTTCCATTCTGTGCTGAAACTTTCTGTTCTGTTTGTTTCAAGCATGTTCATAATTCCCTGCTGAAGCATTTTTATTATGGTTGCTTTAAAATCCTTGTTAGGAAAGTATCATCTCAGTGTTACCGTTGATAGTATTTTCTTGCCCAAGTTGAGATTTTCCTGATTCTTAGTATCATGAGTGTTTTTTAATTATATCCTGCATATTGTGGGTATTTTGTGTGACACCTTGGATCTTATTTAAATCTTTTATTGTAGCAGGCCTCATCTGATACTGTATAGTTTGGGAAAAGATTAACTATTTTGTTAATGTGAGGTGCGAGTAAAATGACAAGTTCTCCACTCAACCCCCTTTGATACCCTGGATAGGAAGGATACCGCCTTACTCCTGGGATAAGGTGGGATTTCAGGGCTCCCACAGGCCTTAGCAGATGCGTCCCTCGCTGGGAGGGGGAGACGCACCTTTTTACTGTTCCACGGGTGCCTTACCATGAGATTAGGGGTGACCTTGTTACCTCTGGATAGTTATAAAAGTTCTGGCTTCCCACTCAGCTTCCTCTGACACGGGAATGGAGGGTGAGAGAGTTTTTTTCCTTTTGGATGGGAGTAGAAGTCCTAAAACTGTCTTCACAACCACTTGGTTTTCTCTGATACCACATCAAGGTCATCTATGGGCACTTTATTGTTGCTGTGCAAGAGTGGAAATCTAGGCTCGGTACTTGGCCTTTTGTGACAGAGGTGGTTTAAAAATAAAGGTGAAACTTGGAAATAAGGAAAAAGGTGAGCAGTGCATCTTTTCAGTGTCCTATGGGGACATTATTCAATAGGCCTACACTGTGACTATTTAGAAGAAGGTATTTTGTTTGAGTCATTGGTTACTATTGATTAAAAGTTTCAAAGTTAGGGCCATTTTTTTTTTTTTCGTGGTATTTGGTTGGTGTGGGGTGTTTATTGTCTAAAAGCTTTCTGTCTTGCTAAATTGTGCCTTTCATGGCCCTTTTGCTACAGAGGATTGGCTTTTATTGGGGCTTTTGTGCCTATTGGTGTTTCCTGGTTGCTGGCTGTTCCACTCCCTAGTTTGGGATATATGAGGCTAAAAGAAAACTCACAGAACTCACTGCTTTGTCATTCCTTGGATTCCTAGGTCCCTAGTCGGTCTGCCTTCCCTCTGCGTTCCAGAATCCTCTTATATTTGTTTTAATAAAATGTCCAAACTTTTTAGCTGTATTTATTGACAGAAATAGGGAAAAGTATGTCTTTTTAACTTTAATCTGAAAGTGGGATAGAAAGCAACCTTTTAAATTTTAGGTATTCTTTGTTGTAGCTACATCAGGAAATTGATATCAAAACATTATTTTGAAACAGGTAACTTTGAGTCAGTTTTTTTAGAGGGGCGGGGGAAACTAATGAGCTCCCCTGGAGTCATTCTAGATAGAGGAAGGATGGATAAAAATATATGGATAATTCAAAATGGGAGATAATACATAAATCTTTTTATCTGCTTTATATTTACTAAGTTTGTGCATATATATGAGTATGTGTTAGATATTCTGAAAGAGTATTTTCAACAGAAACATTTACATTGTGCTGTAAATACCTGATTAAGGAAGAATTTAGAAATCTTAGACTTCCCTATTTGACCTTTCTGCAATCCAGTTCTTTCTGAGGGTAGTGGGCTTTTTTTTTCAAACTAACACAAAGTCGTTTCTACCTAATAATTTCTTAGGAATAGGAGATGTGATTAAATTTGTGAGTGTCAAAGGAGGCTACTGTATGTTAAATATTTATAGGATGAAATATTAGCAAAGTGAGTTTTTAAATAGTGATATGGTTTGGCTGTGTCCCCACCCAAATCTTATCTTGAATTGTAGCTTTCATAATTCCCACATGTTGTGGGAAGGACCTAATGGGAGATAATTGAATCACGGGAGTGTGTCTTTCTTGTGCAATTCTCA